TTTAAATGTAATTTTATTAATACAAATAATGCTTAATAAAAATTATTAATGCCTGATAATGATTTTTTGCCTGATAAATGATTTTTTGTCTGATAATTGATTTTTTGCCTGATAACTGATTTATTATAGTCATTATTAATTATAAAAAATCATGGGATACCGGATAATATGAATTGATTAATCAATTGATCTTTATTATTAATTTTTTTTATTTATTTTTTAGATGATGTTTCTCCTCCTCCTGCTTCACTATCACCATTACTACATTTTTATTTAATTTATGATGTAAAATTTGGATAATTTTATTGGTTTTTTTTAAAAAAATAATAAAAGACAAAATATTTGAATTTAATTTATCATTATTTCTTTTCTTATTTTATTTTATTTTCTAATTATTATAAAAGATGACGACAACACCACCATTATTAATATTGTTGCTAACACTACTATCACCACTAATGTTACTGCTACTCCCAAAGTTATCGCTACCCCCTATAGTTACTATTGCTGTTATTCCTAAAGTTGCAACAAATAAAGTTGCTGCTACCTCCAAAGTTGCCACTGCTCAAAGTTGCTGCTACCTCCAAAGTTGTCACTGCCTCCAAAGTTACCGTTGTCCCCAAAGTTGCTCTACCTTCACCTCCACTACCACTACCAATATTGTTGCAAAAAAAGTTGCTGCTACCCCCAAAAGTTGCTGCCATTAAAGCTGCCACCAATATTTCAAAAAAAAGTAATTTTTATATTTATTTTTAATATTACATTATAAATAATATATATAATATAATATAATATAATAATAATTTAGAAAAATCAAGAAATCAAAAGATTTATTGTTCTGATTTAGAAGAATCAGATAAATATTTTATATTTTATATTTAAATTTTAATTTTAAATTGTAAAACTCTTATTTAATATTATAATTAATTAATTTATATAGAATAAATAAAATTTCATTATTTATTTTTATTTATTTTTTTTTAATAAAAATTTTTTAATTTTGAAAATTATATTTATTTAATGATTAAATGTATAAAAATTGCAATTAAAATTATGTATATAATTTAATATTTATATGTTAAAATCTAACTAAAAATAACATATATAATATACTAATTAGACGTAAAAAATGCAATCAAAATAACGTATACAATATACTGATTAAACATAAATTCTGTATTTTTTTGCATATGAAAAAAGTCAAATTTCAATATCTAATATACAGAGATACTAATAAAAAATAATTTATATAATATACTGATTTGATGTATAAAATTTAACAAAATTACGTATACATTATACTGATTATACGTATAATTCAGTATTATTTTGCATACAAAAAAAGACAATTTTCAGTATCTAGTATATGGAAATATTTACGAATTTATTATATTGTTTTTCTACGTTTATTATACGTTTTTTAAACGTATTATTTGTGTATACTTTCCTTATACATATTATTTATAAGGATTATTAAACAAAAAAAATAGGGGCTATCGAAGAACTTTCTCCTTTTAAATCAAATTTAAATAAAAATAAAAATTACTATTTTAATATCTGATACATAATTTTTTTGTCTAATTTATATACATATTTTATTATAATCATTTTTAATTATAAAATAATCACAGGATACAGATAATAAATGCTATTTTTAATTATATTAAGTGTACACTATATATTTAATTATGTTATTTTAATAATACCTACTAGCATTTCATTAATAATAGAAGTTAAAAATTTTATATTTTTTGAAATTATAACTCATTGACACAAAAGTAATTAGAATAACTTGATAAATATGATGTATATTTAATAAAAGGTTTTTTTAACTATGAAAATTTTGATTATTATTTATCTATGACTTTTTATGAATAATTTATTAATTTTTTACTAAATATTTAAAATCAAACTTTGAATAAACATTTATAATTGGAAGGATTTGCAGCCAAAAATTTTTTTAAATAACATTGATATTATTGACATCTTATTTTATTTATTAAATACATATATCAAACAAATCCTCTGATATTTAACATACCAAATTGCATTGGCTAAGTCTGTAATGAATTTTTTTTCCACATTTCCAGCAATATCTTTTCTAAACCAACCTCCTCTATTATCTTTAATCAAGTTTGTTACATCAATTTTCAATTAATTTAATTTATTTCTTGATATTAGATTAAACTTTGAAAGGTAAAGTTTTGTTGCTGATTTCATTTATAAATCAAATGCATTAATTAAAATTAAAGTTATTCTTTATTGGATTATTATTTGGATTAATAATTTTAATTTTTACAAAAATGCCATATATTTTTGGCATTCTATAAACTTCGCATCTTTTTCTCAAAATCATAATTCCACAACTCTTTTTCAAGTATATCAATGATAAATATTGTAAAAAAATTCAATTGTTTTATGTTCATTTACAAAGTACCTTTATACAAATAAAATGGAATTTTTATATTTTATGATTAGATGAATAATGGATATAATGATTAAAAATTGTGTAAAAAAGAAGTAAAAAAGTCAAAAAAAAAGGATAAGTCATGAGTAATAAGAAACATAAAAGTATTATTAATTAGTGTTTACTTAAAATTAAAATCAAGTTTGTTTAATCATATTACACATATATTGTAAATATAAAATTTTCAACATGCAAGAATAAGTTTGCATAATTGTATTTGATGTTATATAATTATGTCATAATGATTTTAAATAATATATTTAAATTGTTACACCTGATCTTGAAATTTCATTAGATATTTACAAGGTGTGACAGACAAGAAATGCCTTATATATAGTCAAAAAATTATTATTCATGTATAATATAAATTTTTAAAATTAATAATATAAATATAGTAAATAAAAAGAATTTAAAATAAAAATCAAAATTATTTACGTAACCAAATATATAGGATTTTTTTTTAAAAAAATACTTTATCATAAAATATTAAGAATAAAATTCTACAATGTTAATTGCAACAAAAACGTTAACTCATTAGGCCACTTTAATTAAGATCAAAGCTAATATTAGAAAGTTGGAGCTAGCCTAAAGATCTTTAACTTGTTAAAATATTATAAGGTTTTGATGTGAAATCTTACAAAACTTGAGGAATAAGAAGATCAAAATAAGGTAAGTTACCAACTTTTATCATTAGCTTGTTTTTACTATTATTATATCTTATATATATAAATATTTTTTTTTTAAGAAGATGAAGTAGAGGAAGAAGAAAGAAATAAAGATGCAGAGTAATCAATTTTATTATTATTTTTTATTTACATTTATAAAATATCATATGGGTACATAGAAAATTTATTCTATTGAGTCACTTGATATTAACATCGAATTATATGGAACCTTTTATAATAAAAAGACCTAATTTACTTCTTTTATATACAAATTATGATTTGTGAGCTGAAAAATATTCATATTATATTAACTAACTCATTTTTTATTTTCTTTCTTTGCAATGATTCTATATATATATATATATAGTAATTCTACTGTTCATTCATCTGAAATTAGCGAAACATATTGCAATAGGTTGTCAACTAAAGTTTAGAAATAAACAAAGTGTAAATATTACATAAAAACAAAAAAACAACTTATATGAAAAAATCAAAAAATTAGCTATCCTTGTGCAATATCTTGATATCTTACCAGAAGTGACTGTGCAAAGAGTTGATAATTTTTTTCTACTAAAATTCCTCCTTTGATCCTATTGTCAAAAATGATTAAAACTGTTATATATACTCAGATATCTTTATTTTTTTAAAAAAAAGTATCATGATTATATCAAGACTAATAATTCAGAGATTTTTTTTCAGTAATATTCCTTTTTATCTATAGACTGACAATGAGAAAGTTTTGTATGAACATTCTCAAAATTTGTTTTTTGACTTTTATATTTTAGATCTTGATCATAGTCATATATAATTTCTCAATTTTATTTACCTTTTAGGATAAAATAGCTTTTTTTTAAAAAAAAAGTTATAGCGTATAATTAGACACAGTTTAAAGTAAAAATAAACAGCTGAATCAATTTGTCATTTACATTTTATTGTTGACTATATTTTTATTTGCTAATTTTTTTTACTTAATCATATTTGAAATTGGTTTTTTTAGACTAGTGATAAAGGTTAAAGAAATCAGTATGTGTGAACATAAGGTATTATATCTAACTATCATCACAACCACTACAGTAACCACAATTATAGACGCAACCTCATCCTGGAACTCATGTTGACTTCTGAGCAAATAATTAAAGCTGTTGGATTCAACTGAATTCAGTGAAGCACAGGCTATTGCATTTTTTATAAGGCTGTTTTGGAAGGTATACTATAAATATTTATTAAGAGATTATTTCAAAAAGTTAATATACCTTTTAATAATATTTTTTTCACAATGTGTATTTGTAGTCATCAGAGAATAACACTATAACCGCAACAACAAGAACAACTGGAATTGCAAGTACAACAGCAACCGCTTTCATTTGTCCTGATTCCGCCATTTGAATTCATTATGATTCCAACTCCTTGAAAAATCAGGATAACATATGTATTCAATCTTTGAATATGAATATGGAGTACCTGCTAAATTGCTATTAAGTTCAAGTAGATTAATACAATTCAATAACCCAAATAATGTCAGATTAGCAGAAATAGGTATGATATAAATATTTTTCATAAGGTTATACAAAAATTGCTATAATTAATATATCTAATAATAATAATTAATTTTAAAGGAATAAAACCAAATATCAATTGCATTTATTTGATGAAACCGTTTCAGCGCCGCGTCACGTTTAAATTTCATTTTGACTCCACAGCAAATTTTTTCTAAGTTTGGCCTGTTCTAATATTGAGCTGTTGGAGCATCAATATGTACTGCAGGTGAACTATTAGGCCTGTTCAAAGTTGATTAATTGGGATGGTCGATCGAACAAAACGATCAACGTTATATGTTGATCACATCTGTTCGGGTTACACAAACCAATAGAATTTGCGATCAAAAATGCCGATCGACCAACTTTGAACTAGCCTATTAAAATCAACTTACGGATCATATGTTTTAATAGCAATCACCCATTTATATGCATGATTGCAGGATTAGTATGATGCTTATAAATATTTATCATAAGGTTATTTAAACTTTGTTCTTATTAATATATCTTATAATAATAATAACTAGGGAACGGTTTCGAAAACCGTTGTTAAGTCCGGAGCATATGTGTAACGAAAAGACCAATCATGTATCTATCAATTTTGAGCGGACGGACAACGGGACATCTTGTGTAGAATTATATAGTCCTTCGTTACACTTCAGACTAATAATAATAATTTTTATTAGAAGAAACAAATACAGAGAGAAAGAACAGATTACTAAAATTTCTTTTTAAATATATTTTAACTAGTTTTATGCAATAAGTAAGTTTTTGTAATTTCTTAAATAAATTTTGTATGTTATTATTTCTACTTTGATATTTATATTGATTTTATAGAGAATACATAATGAACTTTAATTTTTAAATGTAAAATCGCTATTAACATTTGTTAGTTGCTATCAAAATACGAATAAGTTTCTTTTCCTTTAAAACGCTATTAAAAGAATATTAGGTATATGAAAAAAAATAAAACGCAATATTTATATAAAGAAGCATTTTTTTGTCCGAAAATATATAATACATTCTAGGACTTTTACAATTTAGGAGAAGTAAAATCATTGAAAAAATAAATAATAAAAATAGTCAACAAATTTCTTCGACTAAATGAAATTATAAAAAATTATTAAAATAATAATTCATTTAACAAACTATTTATACGCATGCCTATCTCTACTTGTATAGCGATACGGAATTTTAATAAAAACTACAAAAATGTAAAAATGATTTGCCATTCATTTAAATTTTTTTTGGTAATATTTAAAATATATCATTAATATAAGATAAAAATGTGGTGCAGAAATTGCCGGCATTATGCATTAGTCTGACATTAATTGAACAATAAAAAGAATAATTAAAAAAAAATCAGAAATAAAAGCTGCGACCCGTCCAAAAGATAAATTATATAGACTTTGTAAATAAAATTTTTTAGAATTGTTCGTATAATTTGCGATCAAAAAAGTGTTTTATATTTTACATATAGAAATTCTTTTGACTTGACTTTACGTCAATTTAAACTAAAATAAAAATTGTTGAAATTATTTACATAAAAAATTCGACATCTTTTATTTATGTTTTTTCCCCCACTTATTTCACACCCAACCCGCTATTAATTCTGAAATCGCCCCATTGTTTACTAGTTGGTTTCATTATCACAATTGCCGCTAGTGCATTGAATTTAATGACAACGAACCCTGCATTGCATCCACAAAGGAACAAGACAGTGAGTCAACGTCCAACAACAAGACCATAAAACGTAGTCTTTTATATCACTTAAAGTGAAGAAAAAGGCAATAACATCCCTGTGTCATATACTTCCTCAAAGGAACAAGACCAAAGTCTTGATGCAAAGACTGGGATGTCATCAACGTTAGTGTAAATCCATTAAAATTGAATGTAAATTTATAGAAAAAAATGAGAAAATTTCAAATTATGGGATGAGTTTGCGGATCTATACACGTGATATGATGTCACATGATTCTTTATTAATAATCTAAAAATAACGATTTTAACTAAATTTATCATGTTATTTTAATTTTTTTTCGGATTTTTTTTTTAAAATATTGGCGACATTATATGAAAAACAAGAACTAGATTCTCTAGGTTTCAACAGGAATTAGTTTTGACTTTTTATCAAAATTTCGTTATTAGGCAAAACCACGAAACTTTTCGACGGTTGGAAAAGTTTCGACGGGTGGGGTGGTAGGATGACAAATGTTTCGATGGATAGTAAACCCAAAATAGAATTCCTTTCGGGTACATTTTAATACAACCTTTTGGAAGGATGGAAGTTTTTCTTGAAAATTTTTCTTAAATCTCGAATATCTCTATCTAGGTCCAAAATACTAATACTAACTAAAATGTTTACCCGTTAAATTTGCAAATTTAGTTACCTTGGAAATTTTGAATCACAAAACGTCAAAATTTTTGAAACCATCGAAATCTAATAAAACCCATCGAAATCCGTCGAAATTGCGCAAGCTATCGAAGCCATCAAAATACGTCGAAATCCATCGAAATCAAAATGTAGGTATTTTTTATTTCTACATTTAGTTTGAAAACTCGTTGTAATTGTTCCTATCCACTCACAGTATTTGTGCATCATACAGAAATCGATATTAAATTACTCGTGAAGTTAGTGAAGAAAAATTGTGTTTAATCTAAGAATTTCAATATTAATGCAACGGTACTGAAATAGGTTAAACGTTCCAATTCTAACGTAAACAATTTTTATGATAACGACAATCCTGGTAACAATAACTCATTGGTGGACTAAAGTTATTCAAATGTGGTTCGTATTATGATTTCTTCTTTAGAAAGAACTTTCTAGATATTAAACTATCTCTTATATCAAATTTACACTGATGATAATTCAAAATGTAGATTTCAAGGCTATAATTTTCGCACGCTAGCGTTTTGAAATAAAATGCAATGATGATTATGAGAATTTTAATGCAATAATGAAGATAACTTTGATCTAGATAGAGGAAGAAAGAGAGAATAATTTACTTTTCAAAAATGTACTTTTTTTTTTAAAAAAAAATATTATAAGCATTACTAATTAATTACAGTCTCAATTATGAAATTACCAATATTTGCAAGGAAACACTTTGGAAATGTAAGTTTAAATCTTTAAATCTCTCCTTTAATATTAATTCCTTTTCAGTACTCTAATCAACATCACAAATTCACAAATTCTGCTTACTTTTACCATTATTATTAGAATACTGTGAAATACAAACCTCAAAATAAGTTATTCGGCCCATAATGCATATTAATTTTAAGAGAGTTATACGTGATCAAGGTAAATCCGGACCGCTAATATCTCTAAACAAGAAAATTTTAATATATATTATATTGTCAATGTAGGAACCTTAATAGATAAATCATTTATGATACGGCACATTCTTCAATCGTAAGTCATTTTAAAGCATTTTATCCAAAAATTATTAATAATTATTAATGCAGATGATAATTATAAAGAAACAAGGATGAATTTATTATGATGATTATATAGAATCTGATCCCAATGCAAGGAGAGACTAGCCTATGATAGGTATGAAATTTCAAATAATTTTGGGAACTTTATTTTATTATGTCATAATTGTAAAGTATACGCTCATATGCAGGAATAGGGAATACCAGGACGGTGTTTTTTAACATGAATTATAACTTTTATAGTGTGCTGTCGGATCATTTTTAAAGAGAGATCTCGATTAACAACAGATAGACGTTTGGCCGACAATTATTTTACCGACAAATATTAGGCGCAGCATATGATTTACCAAAAAAGAAGGGTCGGGAACGTGAATCCCGAATCCAAAGAATATATAATGATCGGGAAAATAGGCAAATGATGGACTTTCCTTAGTGGGGTATAGCACACAATATTTCATTTGAAATTTAATTATTTGTTATATTATGAATTATTTGATATTGTTTTGTTTGCTTTGTTTGCATATAATGATAATAAAAGATATTAATTTTTCTATTGAATTTTAGTTATTTATATTACAGTAAAAAATATAAAAAAATTTGTTTGTAGGACAAACGTACCTGTCGACCAAATGATTGTCGACCATATGATCCAAACCCAGAATCTCCTGTCAGAATTTTGAAGTATATGTCTATGAAGCAGTTTATTTTACTGAATAAGATCTAATACTTCACGTTTATGAATGTATCTATTATAATTTTGTTCATAACTTTAGTTCAAGGAAATTTGTTAGTAGAGAATTATTGTCAACATTTTTTTTTAGGATTCTGGCGACATTTCATGAATGGAGACTGTTTTTAAGGGTAATAATGAGATCGTCTATAATATGTTAATATAATAATATTTAAAAAACCATTTTCCTTCTATGACACAGATAATTGGTGAAATAAGAGATAGAATAACGGAACGGAACGGAAGTATAAAGTGATAGTCATCAATTCGCCGTAGAAGTTTGAAACTTAAGCTTGGGGACAGTATTCAATAAGGTTGAAAACATGATGAGTATATTTAGGCAAAGAATTAGAGAGTTATCCATCGGATTAAATTTTGTTTATTGAGATTCAAACGGATGATTGATTATCAATTTTTTTAATAACTAGCTTTCAATTAATTTTATCATTGAAATCACAGATGCCATGAAAACGGGTATATAAATAGTAGGATGTGTTTGAGAGAATAATTAAAGCTTCATCATATATTAAAAGTAGAAATGTCCAGCATTGATTCAAAATTAGTTGAGAATTCTGAGGTCACGTTCGAAGATCTCTCTCTAGGTTAAGATAAATTTCGCAAAGGAATGTATTCAACAAATATGAAATGGAGAGGTTTGCAATAAATTTATGTTCAGATCATATTATTTATAGTCTCATAACTTGATTTTAATAACAAACGACCCGAATAATAACATCTTGGTCGGTGCATATGTTCACATTATTAGGACATGAATTGACATGCCTTAAAGAAATATCAAAGTGCTTGACATAAAGATAAGCGTAGAAGTATTTTTTGATGAAGAAATGTCGTAATAATCGCAACAAAAACCATTTGACAGGACATATTTCCCTATGAAAAATTAATGGACGGACTAATTCAGGATTTTGATATATCCGGAATATGCGCCGAATCATGAAAGACCAGAATTTTGTGCTTAAAAGGTTCACGTAAAAAGTAATACTTAGCACTCTTATAAGTAAGCTAAGTAAGCTATGAAAATTCTATCATAGATGGTGTTTTTGCTTACTCTTCAGGTTTTCTTTGAATGACAAGAAAGGTTTTAATTTTAAATTTATGTCATTTACTTTTTTTGTAAAAAATTAATTAAATTAATTTATCTTTTTTTGGAAAATCTGGAATTTGTCTAGTTAATTTTGACCGGAAATTTTCATGTCCGGTGGAAATTAATAAATGGATGATTCCGGATGATTAAAAATTAGGTAAGACGGAAAACAGTGTAGGTCGACCATCTGTGTGGTGTATGACGTTAAACTTTTGTGTGTATGGTCATAGGGTTAGAGTTAGAATTAGAATTAGGTTAGTATGGAACGGGTTGTTTATTTGAAGCGTTGTGTAATATTTTTGAAGCCATACACATAAAATTTAACAATATACCCACACAAATGGTCGATTTTAACTTCTGGTTTTCGTACTCTTAAAAATTCCGGACATAGATTTTTTTCCCCCAAAAATGTAATTTCTAGATATGGACATTTTCGGGACGAACCCGGACATTTTCGGTGACATTTTCCGGACATTTATTTTTCATAGGGTTTTAGTTTTTTACCGTTTTATGAGTTTTGATTTACTATAGTAAGAACTTTGTAATTACAGATATTAAAAGGTTTGTTTATTGTCATAGTGGAGTAACTCAGCAATATTTTTCAATGAACAATCCATTGAAAAGTTACATTGATGGCAGATGGATTAATTAATTCAAATATAAGTATATTTTTATCATTATTGACCGATTTTCATATAGCTTCTATTAATATAATTTCTTATAAAAAGTAATTTATTAAAATTTTATTACATTTTCAGACTATGAATTCTTCCTGTTATATCTTTCCAAAATTTCCGAAATAGTTGCCTCTTTTATGTAATATTTTCTAAAAAAAAAAAAACCATTTACAATTAATAAAATAATGCTTTATGACAAAGGCCTCTAGTAAAAAATTTCTTTGGAACTTTTCATAAAAGTCAGGTGTCACATTATTTTTTTGTTATAACTTATCAATCTAACTTCTAAATGTTTGAATATAATTTTAGAACAAATTTCAAATTTTAAAAATTTGTTATTTTTTTTTTTATTGCTCCAATTAATACTCAAATATTATGAGGAATTTCGTAGAATTTATTTAAACAAAATGAATGACATTTTATTCCTGAAAACGGAAATGTTTTTAAACCTTAATAAATTGAACTTGTTTGAACTTATTCATTATTGTGCCGTGCCGTTAGTAAATTAAATACATTTTTAAACGATAATAACAATATTAATTGTAAGTGTTGATGTTAAAGTGTATTCCTATAAATAACGTTAGGAATAATTATTAGCTTACATAAAGTTATAATTAACTCATTACTTTAAGATGGAGATCCTGCAATGAGTTCAATGACAAAGAAAGTGTTCAAAATTAATAAAAATTTTTAAAAATAAATTGATTTTGAATAATAGATTAATTGTTCATGTAGTGGTAATTTATATGTCGATAACATGTGATGTATCTTCTATTCCGTATTAATTATAAAACTTCATTTTT